CATTCTATATCATCTATGAAAACTCCAAAGACAGTATGAGAGACACTACAACATTGATTGACTTCAATGGTACTCAAAATCTCTTCGGTTTGAGAAGTGTTGATCTTGATCCGAACGAAGTGTTATAATGTGGCCACGGCTGCTAAGAGATCTGATGGTACTCCAATGGTTTGCAATCTTTCCCATAAAAACTCACAAGATTCTGTGTCAAAAGCTTTGTTGAAATCAATGAAGATATAAAACAAAGCTTTTTCAAAACCTTTGAATTTCTCCCATAAAATGGTCTATAGATATGGTTATAGTGTTGAATGTAGTATAAAAACCAGCTTGGAACCGCGCCCTCTTCTAACAAGATTCAACCCATGTGTTCAACTTTGACTCCATCAATTTTCTAAATAACTTGGCAAAAATACTACACACCATGATAGTCTAATAGTTTGTCACCAAGTCCTTGCTCCTAGATTTGTGAATAGGAATAATCTAATCAAATACTCCGTCCCTTGAGAATGACTTTGTTTATCATGTTGAATTGGATCCACAAACTTAACAATAATGGCAGGAGGTTGTGCTCTTTTTTTTCCAATACAAAAAGCTTGAGCCAAATCTCGATTAGTGACATCAAGTGGTTTCAGCCAAATTTTTTATGACAACACTCTTCAACTCTTCCTTCTCAGATTCACGTAGATCAGAAATCTTCACGTTCTTTCTACGAGCAGATTGATTAGACTTTTCAAAATCTTGCTCTTGACAGAAAGAGATATGAACTGACTTGGTAGCTTTAGCATAAGACTTCAATTTCACCTCTAGACTTACAACCACTTCATGCAAAAGTAAAAGCTTGAGAACTAACTTTCTCTTGGATGTCTTCAACAGATCTACAAATTTCAAGCATGATCTTCTCAAAACTTTGATGAAACCTTCAACTCTCGGATTTCATTTTTTTAATAGTGAAGGCAGCATTTTGTACCTTGAATTTTGGGCAAAGCATTTTCAATTCTTCCAAAATCGTTTGCACAAGAGTAGCTTGTTTTCAAAAGTCATCATGAATCCAACTTTGCAAGGTTTTACACAAACTCAAAGCTCTGAATTTTCAATTTTTTCAAACCGGTTCTGTTGAGTCTCAAATTTTTCACACATATGGATTCAACAGAACTTAACAACCTCACAAGAATTCAGCTTGAGTTGACACTTCACGGCAAAGATATGGCTACCACAAGATCCAACATCCAAAACCTAAACTCAAAACTCCGAATTAACAACTTCTTCACATCGGCTTCGTTGAGTCTTAAATTTTGCATGCATGTGCGTCCAAACGAACACAACAATATCATTGAATTTTAACTTGAGTTGACACTCCACCGCGAAGATATGACTACCGCAAGATTAAGACTCTAAAATCTAAGCTCAAAGCTTCGAATTGACAACGTTTTCACAGCGCCTCCGTTGACTCTCAAATTTTGCTTGCATGTGCGTCCGGCCAAATTCAACAACCATATTAAATTTCAGCTCAAATTGACACTCCACTGCAAAGATATGTCTACCGCAAAATCTAGCCTCCAAAACCTAAACTCAAAGCTTCGAATTGACAACTTCATCACAACGGCTCCGTTGACGCTCAAATTTTGCTTGCATTTGCGCGCGTTCAAATTCAACATTATCACTAAATTTCAGCTTGATTTGACACTCCACTGCGAAGATATAATTACCGCAAGATCCAACCTCCAAAACCTAAACTCAAAGCTCGTAACGAACAACTTCTTCACACCGGCTCCGTTGAGTCTCAAATTTTGCACCTATATGCGCCCAACCAAACTTAACAACCCTATCAACTTTCAACTTTAGTTGACAGTCACTACAACTGTCAACTGAAGTTATGACTGAAAATATGATTGCCTCAAGATCCAAATTCCAAAACCTAAATTCAAAATTCTGAATTGATAGCTTCTTCACTCCGGCAACATTAAGTCTCGATTTCTGCTCGGATTGAGCCCGATCAAACTCAACAACCCCATCAAATTTCACCTCCAGTTGACACTCCACCACAAAGAATTAGCTACAACAAGATCCAACCTCCAAAACCTAAACTCAAAGCTACGAATTGATAACTTCTTCACAACGGTTTCGTTGAGTTTCAAATTTTGAAAGCATGTGCGTGCGGCCAAACTCAACAAGCTTGTCAAATTATAGCTCGAGTTGATTCTCCACCTCGAAGATATGGCTACCGCAAGATCTAGGTTCCAAAACCTAAACTCAAAGCTTCGAATTGACAACCTTTTCATAGCAACTTCGTTGATACTCAAATTGTGCATGCATGTGTGCGCGGCTAAACTCAACAAACCTACCAAATTTCAACTTGAGTTGACATTGCACCGCGAAGAAATGGTTACTGCAAGATCCAGCTTCCAAAACCTAAACTCAAACTTTCAAATTGACAACTTCTTCACATTGGCTTTGTTGAGTCGCAATTTTTGATCACATGTGCGGCAGGCTTAACTTAACAACTCTACCAAATTTTAGCTTGATCTGACATTTCACTGCGAAAATATGGCTACCGCAAAATCAAGACTCTAAAAACCAAACTCAAAGTTTCGAATTGACAACTTCTTCATAGCGGCTATTTTGAGTCTCAAAATTTGAAATCATCTGCTCCAAGCCGAATTTAACACTCTCACAAAATTTCAGCTTGAGTTGATACTCCACTAATAATCATTATAACTTAAGTTTCATTTCTTTCATCTTTCTGGTAACCATTGGTTCTCTTCGAGAGTTCTCATCATTCTTCAAAATTCCAAGTCAAAGTAGTAATCCACACTAATAGTTTAAATTACTCCACTGTAAAAACATGAAATTATCAACCAAAATCACACTCGTTTTGAAGAATCAATTGCAACTTAGAATATCAATCGTATCTTCAACTTCAAGTTAAGTTTGGAGATCAATTGTTCATAAATAATACTTAGACTTTTTTGATTTTATAATGAGATAGATTTTTTATATATAAAATATTAAATATGGAATATGTATCAAATATTTAGAATTTTTAATATTTGGATTTTTTAGAATTTTAAAATAATAATATTTTTAAAAAAATTTGGTTTTTTAAATTTTAATCTAAAATGAGATAAAAATATTTTTCAATTTTATATAATAAAAATTTGAAAAAAATATCAGATATATACATAGTTATTAAAAATTCAATAATAAACGCAATCAAGTTGTAACAACGCTTTTGAACAAATGAAATTTTTTTTATAAAAGCATATGGTCAAATTGAATTAATTTCATAACAATGATGGGTTTTTCATTTTCTCAAAATATCTTAAATAATTTTTCTAAAGTACAGTCACTTTATTATACGCTCAGATAACAATTAATGCATCATATATCTAAGTAAGTAATAATTATATACATATTTATAAGTAGCTTATATTATATACATTGCTTTGCAATATTTACTTTTACTTTATAAAGATATCTTGAACCTATATATCTATCTTCAAAAACTATCATTTTTCATCTATAATTTTATCATATTTTTAAAAGCTTAAGAAATTTTCAATTCATTACATAAAATTTATTCTATGAATTAGATTTAGATCTATGAAAAATTAATTTAAAAAATTTTTATTCAAATGTCTATACTTTAAATAAAAAAAATGTCCATAACATCATTGACTTAAAGATTTTTACTATGCAAGCATAACTTCAGCTCCTTGAAATAGATATATAAATTTAAATAATATTATATTGCATCGTTTGTTTTCATACATCTTCACATTTTTTTGAATTTTAAATAAATGTATAAATATGATCAGACAATACCATACACTGGAATTCCATAGTAACGTCAACATAACATATATGATATACAAGCATGTTAATCAATATGGATATTTTTATATGAGATAATTGCAACACTTCATCATAACGATATGAAAACAAAATATAATTTAGTTAAATCATGATATCATTGACCATTATTCTTATGATTTTTTTTCAATGAAAATATAGACTCATGGCTCTTCATTATTAAAAAAGATAAACATGAGAATTCATACATGATCTTACTTCAAAGCCAAATCTTGTAGGTTCATTGATATTTTTTTGAATATTTCATGTATTACCATCAGATTAATGATGATATTATATTGAAGATCATTTCATCTAACAATCGAACTGAAGAATTACATCATCTTTTTTGACTTTTCAAGTAATGGTAGTAGGCTAAATCCACATGGAATGTAGATCACAATCAATGTTAATGTATGATATCTCATAATTAATGAGAGAGCCAATACTATTAAAAAATTTATATAAAATATAAGATATTTTAAATTCAAATTATTTACAACTGTAAATTTTGTTTATGATTTTTTCACTTTTATTACTGGATGATCATATGATAGAATAAATAAATAAAAGAAAAAACATAATACTAAGAACTTAATATTTGAAAACATATTATAATGCAACTAAAGAATCAAAACTAACTAAATCCACAAGTATACGAGAAATAATATATATGTATATAATCATATACTCATATTCCTCGTTTTGGTTGATGACTCGTACCAAGAGAGATACTGGAAGACCTTCAAGTGATGATGTCACGGGAAACCATTTTTTAATGACGTCCATCAATACGACATATGTGATGAAAATGGACCCCTCAAATGTAGAGGTAAAATTCCCTCAAATATTTATTCGACTTTATCAGCTGCGTTGTAGTGACGTCGACTAAGCTGCGAAGCTCTCATGGAAGGCACGTGAAAACCTGATCGAGAAGATAAAGGCGCGGCCATTTGCTGCAGACAGCGAACACATTTTACGTAACCTTTGAGCGCAATCAAAATTTCAGCAGATGTGGGACGATTCAACGCACAAGAAGGACGTGGTGAGTATAACATGCGAGCCTACCGCACGGCTGTCCAAACTCCATTTCGACTCATCGATTGGTTCCCAGCACAAACATTCATGCATACCACCTTCACCAAATTGGTGAATTTCACGAAATCTGGGAGGCTGGAATGTTTTCCCCTCACTTGTTGCCATTCGACGTCCATAGACACAAGAAGAGGATTATATACAAAGAGTTGCAGAGGTTTACAGGGAGAACCTTGTCAAACGAATTGGGCTTATAATTGATAAGAGAGGCCAGAAAACTGACCACAAAGTCTCACTGCTTGTTGATTGAGCCTAAGGGAAGCGGATAAGGAAACAAAATTTGCGTCGTCGTCACTTTCAAAGTTTTGAATTTGAGAGGGAACGCGTCCGCCACTGTGCGTTTGACGTGCTTGCTGTACTTGTCATTCCTGTTCAAGAATGTATCGCATGATGGCGAGACTGAGCCTAGGAACAGTGACAAAATCAGGAGTAATTCGTGGATCGGGGAGCCAATTGAGAAGCCGTATTCCGCATATTGCAGAATGGTTGGGAACTGGAGGCTCGCGAAGTGGATGAGAATACGGACAGAGCGACCTGTGGCACGTGAAACACAATCCGAGACAAGTACGTTAAATTAGTAGCAAGTGCTCTGGATGATGGTGGGAATCTGTTCAGATGATTCCATGTTGGTGGGGGGTTGGTTTCGTTGCTGAAGACTTTTCGACCTCAACGTGATGGGGTAGATACGAGAAGGGTTCCACAGTCAAGTTCTGAAAAGAGTATCGAGGCCAAATCCCGAGGATTCAATGGGTGGGCTTCATCTGACGGTTCATTGGAAGTCATGGCACTCAAATAGAAAGAAGAAGCTCAGAAATATGCGGTCCCCACCACAACGAAGCAGTTCGAAGCAGTGGATCGCATTCTTTGCTTTGCCCTTCGCCGCCATGCGTTTATATGGCGGATTGGAGCGGGAGCCCATTTGAATTGTGCTTGTGTACGTAGCAATAGTTCTCAATTGCCGTGGACTGCAGTTGAGAGGTAATGCCATTCCCAGACAGAAGTATTATATTGATTGACAATGAAATCAAGGATTGATGAATTCAGCCAAGAGGTTGAAATTTTAAGAAAAAGTAGCAGTTTTTTGCGAACTTGATAACAATGCCAGGGAATTTTTCATGGATCTTTGCTTAACAGTTGCATCTCATATCGTTGCAAGTTACGGACGCTTTTGATCGTCCGCCTATATTTTCTCGTGACACAGGTGACAGGTTGGTTTTGCTGTATGAAATCTTGATGATCGTGTGGGCTATGCTCTGAATGATGCGAATTCGATGGGCTTCGATTGAAAAGAATTCGATGGGCGAATTCTGTTGTGCTTATTTTCAATAATTGATTCTTGTTGCATATAGTCACATGAGCATCAAAATGTCTGCGGAGATGCGAAAGGCGGCAAGTGGCTGCAATCCTTGTTTCGAATTTGTCTTCGAAATCATAATGCATCTAACTAAACCACAATCTCGGACAATGATAACAGGATGGAAACGATCAGCGTAGTTTAATTTTACTGCATACTCATGAGAGAATACATACTCTCATGCGTTTCAACCCACGATGAGCACAGAGCGTTAGACCTGGTTTACTTCGCCAAAGTCTGTTCGTAACGTGTTAATCAACTGGAATGAAAACAGAGGAGTGCTACTCTCGATAAGCCAATCCAAAATTGGGATGGTGTGCAGCCCGGCTTGGAAATGAAGACTCCAACTGGACGCCTCTTGTCGTCGTTCCTGGGAAGGTGAAATTTTGATCAATCTTTCAATCCTACAATACAAATGTATGTAATTTATCAAGAATTGTGATGAGAAGCTTTTGTTGTCCGCTAATTTAACGCCGTGGTTTAAAATTGTCCTCTACCAAACAAAACTCGTGTCAGCAAGGCATCGGGAGAAGTTGATATGTGCTTACACTGCACTATTTCCTTTGTACCACAGGAGGGACGACGATCTGCCAGAAGAACCTCTGCTACAAGCTGAAGAGGGAGCGCCACCAAGAGATGTTACTTTGGTATCTTCCTTAAATTTCAGTCCTCAGTTTGATTGATAGAGCTCATTCTCTTGGATAGATTCACAGTGTGACAATTGATGTTCATAACAATTATCATTCTTTCATGCCCAATTCTTATCAGTCTTTCTCAGCCCCTTCGTAACTCTTGTTCTGTTCCTTCCAGTGAATTCCATAGGGCGATTCAATGTTTCTGCTCATATCTTTGCACTTGTTGAAATGAAATTGGTACTATCTCAAGGCAGTGAGCATCTAAATATCTGTAACTGTCTCCCAACGTGACACCAGGTTTACTTCGTGTGACAGGATGCACAGTCCTGTTCTTGGTGGAGTGTCCTGACGTTTTCATGGGTCACTCCTGTTATGGACACCGGTTCAGCACGACAACTTACCCAGAATGATCTCTTTCCACTTCCCAAGGACATGTCTCCTGATTTGTGCTGTAGTCGCCTTTGCTCTTATTGGGAGGAAGAAAAGAAGAAGGAACAAAATTCGCCCTCGCTGTTGAAGGCCATATTATACACGTATGGTCGGGACTGGCTCATTATCGGCGTCATTAAGGTGACCGTTCTCCTTGGATCAGATATCATGGATTGGATCATGTCACATTCTGTCGTGTTCATATTGAAGGAAAGCGCCGATTCATTTGACACACATTTCGTGATTTTGGAATCTAAGACTTCGTTGACTCTTTGTTTCCTCATTGTATAATTTCTTGGTATCCTTCAAATCAAATAACGATTTCATATGTGTTAGACTGCCTTCTAATTTGATGCTCAATCGGAAGCTCTCAGGTTGTCAATGATGGGCTCAGTTTTGCTGGACCTCTTTTCCTCAACGAAATTGTGAAGTTTCTGGAAACTGGTACGTAGAAAATCGTTGTATGTCAGGAGTGCATACTCTTTAGACTTTGCTGATTCGACATTCTTTTCTTAATAGATACAACACCCGATATGTAAATGTAAGTAGGAATGGATGTAAATGTAAGTTGTATTTTGACCGCATGAGCCATCTATAGCAATCGATAACACCCAATATTTTTCCAAAATGCGTTGAATTGCAACTATATTCCATAATTGGATAATTACATTTACTTGCAATGGAAATGTTCTGTCGCCCTTTCTCTCCTCTCAGCCAACAGTTGAGAGTATCAAATTTTAAGAACAAGCGTGCTTTGTTAGCATTATTCCCTTGAGGCGCTGAGAACAATGAGGTTTTTATTTGTATTATATCTTCATGACTAACCAGGAAATAACAACCTGCGATATGGCTACGAATGCGCGGCTGGGCTCGGACTCGTCTCCATCATCAGGTTACTACATTTTTCACGAAGCAAGCTAATGTGCAACTTTGAACTCCTTCGTTAAACTTTTACTAAGAGAGTGAAGTTTTGTGCCTGTTCTTGGGTCCTCAGAAGTGCGCATTGTTGTTATAGTACTTTGATTACATTGGTGGCAGGTCTGGACCTCTCTTTGTCTAACATCTAGAACTGGATGAATCATACAGAGCTTTCTTGGGAGCTCACTACACTTATTTGATCGCTCGTTTGAGACTGCAACTAAAAGCGAGCATAACCACCATGGTCTATCAGAAGGTCGAATCATCCTTCTCCAACCTTAGTTTTCAGATGTACGAGAGGAAAACGGAGTGAAGACTTTGATACATGATATCCAGCTGCAAAATTATCTGCCTGTGGGTGCAAATCGTCAGATAAATCGTCTGGAGGGATACTAATGTCAACGCATTGCCTTGAGTATGAAATTTGGGGTTCGTGATTGACAATATGGTCGGAAATGGTTGAAAGAACCTGATGCATTAAGTTTTGTGCTGTGAAGAATACGTATCACAACCAGGATGAAAAGAGCTAGAGGTGAAGGCTGATGCCATCTTTCTGAACTTTTCGGACTTCGGTATCTTCAATGCAGGCATTGTGTGTGAGCTTGGCCGAGCGGAGTTGTTTTTCAAGCGGCGAAATTCAGACACTTATGTCCGTGGATGCTGAAAGGATTGCAAATCTGGTCAATTGTGGTCACGAGCTTTGGAGGTAAATGTAACCATGAGATCATGGCAAAGTTATTTGCTGTTGTCAAATCGCGGCATGACCTCAATTGTTGAATCTTGCCACGGTGACCTGAGCATAATTGGAAACTATCATGTCCTAATTTAATTTGGTTCACGGTTATTAGTCTACCACTGCAGATGGGAATTGCGTTGTGGATGCTGTACATGCAAGTCAAGTTTGCGTTTGTTGCTGGATTGGGTGTTATCATCTTGCTAATTCCAGGTCGGTACGACTATCTCGATATCTTGATATGATCTATAATTTCAAAACAGACTGATTTCGAGCATCAACTTTGTACAATTGTGTCTTGTCTTAGAGGAGTTAGTCTACCAGTGTACAATTTCGTGTTTCCACAACAGTAAGAGTTGACGCGGGATTGAAATCATCGGACGAAATTTAAATAATGACCTCAGACCTCCCTCCTTTCATACCTCGTTCGGTAACTGTATTTTGGTATTGCAGTAAACAAGTGGCTGGCTAACCTCATTTGTGCCGCCAATGAGTTGATGATGAAAGAGAAAGATGAAAGGTATGAAACTGCACATGGAGTCATATATTGTTATTGGTAGTACGTTGGTTATGATATCTGCACCACAATTTTACCACATACAATTTGTGAAAGTATCTTGTTGACAAGCACACTGCCAAGAGTGAAGTCAAGGTTTTTGTATCGAAGATTATGGTTCGTGTCACTCAGTTTACAAGTAAGGATTGAAGGTTGTAATTGAAATGAAAGCATATAAAAAAATTTGAAGCATAATGCAATATCATGTTATCCATCATCATGTTACATTATTTTTCTTATCTTTTTACTCACAGGATCCGTCGGATGGGTGAACTTCTCATATATATTCGCACGTTGAAAATGTACACGTGGGAGCATTTCTTTGTCAAGAGAGTGTTACAATCCAGGGATCAAGAACTGAAACATCTCGCTGTGAGTAAGAAGTATTAGGAATCGGGTATTTAAGTATCAACTTCAGTTCAGATGGAGCATGCATAGTCTTCTGGAACTCTGAAAGGGAAAACTAGTTAGAGACCTGCATTTGACTGCTGAAATGTATGTCTTCCCTTGATGTATACTTTTCACTGCATTGCATGTGCTTTGCTGCGTTACATCTCTGCTCTTGCGTACACGACTCGTTAAAGTCGAAGTGTACTGATGAAGATTGAGTTAACATTAGTTCTATTTAAAATGACAATTTGCCTTTCATATACAGATGTTTATTTTTTGTTCTTTGGTCCTCAAGTTTCTGACGACTTATTGCACTTCTGAATTTTGTAGACGCGAAAGTATCTGGACGCTTGGTGTGTATATTTCTGGGCATGTACACCGAACATATTTTCACTTCTCACTTTTGGTCTATTCGTTCTTCTTGGATACAAATTAACTGCAGCAACTGTAAGTTTCGGTCTAATATCTGAATCATCGATGTTTCATTCTGAAAGAAATTGTACATGATTGCAACCGTACCTTTCTAAGTCGGATTGTAGACATATTAGTGAAGCACGGTTCTCAGTATAAACAAACCTGATTGGATTGAGGCCTGGCTCCAAGGTTGAGTTTTATCTATATCATTTTCGTCTAAATTATTGTCGGGAAGGTGATACTTCAGCAATAACTCTTGAAAGGAAGGGCAACAATTTGAGATGAAGGTGTGGTGAAATCTCCTACTTGCAGGTCTTTACAAGCCTTGCACTATTCAACATTCTCATCTCGCCACTAAATTCTTTTCCCTGGGTTATCAATGGCGTAATTGAGGTACCAAAAATTGCGATATTCGGTTCAAAGAGTTCCTGTCACTCCTCGAAGAAATGGAAGTTGAACCTTTTGTCATATTCAAACGTTTAGCTCCCCAATTGTGTTTACGTATTTTTCCTTGTTGATGTACTGACCGAACGTTGTGCATGACTTTTTTTATTAATCTGGTATAATGGTTCAAGTGCAGGCTCAGGTTTCTCTTGCTCGATTATGCAAGTTTCTTGCCTTGTTAGACATAGACTCAGAGTGGACGAAAGATATTCTTCTCCTTTTCGAGAATGCGAAGGAGCCAACACAAGGACGTGGGCCAAAGATAAATCTCCATAATCCTTCAGATCCGTACGAGAAAGAAGAAAGACTCCCCAGCACTGCAGTCACGATGCAGAATGCAGCTTTTTCTTGGTCTCACAGTCTAGTCGAGGATCCGCAGTGGATCATTTCACAAATCTTCATGGCTGTCCCATGTGGATCTTTAGTTGTTGTCTTGGGAAAGGTAGTTATCCAGTCGTTTTAATCACCATGAAATTTCCTTTCTGAAGTGTTTATCTTCAAATTTGCAATTCAAAGCTGAACAAATATGAAAGTGACATCTCTAAGAGGTAGTTTTTGGAGGGCACACCCTGAGTTAGGCTGTGTCCATCTGCGTCTATCAAAGGTTGGGTTTATCAGGTAGCTCAGCCTCATAGTGCGCATTTGTAGGACTTCATTTCCGCCGATTTGAAGCATATCATATTGACATGATTCTAGAAAAGGAAAAGAATAAAGTCTGACAAGCTAATGAGTTCGCTTACTAAATTATATCATTTCCGTTTCTCGGTTTTCACAGGTTGGCAGCGGAAAGTCATCATTGCTTAGCGCTATCCTGGGAGAAATGCGTTGTGTACAAGGCTCGATGCTGGTCCGAGGGCGGCTTGCTTATGTTGCTCAGGTTAGGGCACCTTATGGTGAAGAAGCTCTTCCTCCACTTTAGCCTGCAATTATTGCTCAGACAAATTAAACTCTTCAATTGAAGTTTAAACTAACTGAAATAAATGTGAACGTGTAAACAGACGCCGTGGATCCAGTGTGGGACCCTTTGCGATAATGTTTTATTTGGACAACCATTCGACATAGATAGGTGTGAACCTCATATACGATGACATTTTCAGCTTATAGTTCGTACAGTGTGATACCCATAATTTCGTAACTCTCAAGGACTGAGAACCTTTTCTATTACACGGATCTTCCAAAAGCGATGGATTGATATTTGGCTATTCAGACATGTGCTTCTCATTTAATGTGGCATGCATGGAACCTTAGGCGGTAGATCTCCCTATATATAACACCAGTTTTTCAGAAGGAATATTCACTTGACCGAATTGACTATGCTGAGGATGACCACCAAATTGTTGAAAGTTGCAGGTATAAGAGGGTGTTGGATGCTTGTGCACTCGATGTGGATATCCAACAGATGCAAGGAGGTGACTTGACTGAGATAGGAGAACGTGGTCTTAATCTATCTGGTGGTCAGAGAGCACGCTTGGCACTCGCACGGTAATTTTCTCCTTTCAGCTGACTTTCAGGGCTCCTCTGGGATCATGCATTTATTAGTTACTCCATCCAACCAGATTATTAGAATGTCAGTCTGGAGCAATTTCGTTTTGAGGTAAAGTTTTCTTGCACTGTTACTATCCAAATTGACTTCTTCAAAAATCTCAGAAATATGATAGTACATTGGGTTGTTTACAAATGTCATATATGGAACGTATCCGACCTGTCAAATAAATCTCCAACATGTTACCATAAGTCTCTTTACAAACCGCCGTATCGTGGAGCATGAATGCGTTTTCCCTGTCTAACCAAACTAGCTCTCAGCACTATCATGTGTGCAAGCATCTTCATACCGTGTTTGGTTTGAGAGCACATGGAGTCTGACGATAGGGATTTGAGAATAAGTCCCGGCATCACCTGAGCAGACTGAATCCTCATTCTCTTTGCGTAGTGGATGTGAGAGGAGAATGTTTGTTGTTCTGACAGAAGCCTGTTTGTAATTGCAGAGCTCTGTATCAAGACTGTGATACGTACCTGCTGGATGATCCAATTAGTGCAGTTGATGCGCATGTAGCAGCTTGGATACTGGAGCATGCCATTGCAGGACCATTAATGTCTGGGAAAACGAGAATACTTTGCACGCATCACACCCAGGTACAAGCAACTATCACAGATAGTGGTCAAGATGACTATTCATAGCGTTGTCATCTTCCACATTTTGTAGCATACAATTATAATTTATTAGTGCAGACGAGGGACAAGAAACCAAGTTTGGAACCTAATATCAAGTAGATGGGAGAGATTCTGCAACTTCCGAGGGCTCTCCTTTCTTTTTCCCTGGGGGCCAGGTTGCATTTGAAAATATGTTTTCGAGCTGTACTTTGCAATTAAGTATGAACTGTCTCATTTAGAACTGAGAGCACTGTAATTGTAAAGGATGTGACCGTATGAGGTTGGTTTTCTTTTCTAAGTTGGAATTGTATTGATCAGGCCGTTCCGCTGGCTGATGTGGTTGTAATTATGGAAGAAGGCCGTGTTCGATATTGTGGAAGTCCAAAATCAGACTCATCTTTGGACCTCCAGAAGCTGGATGACGAATCTATCCAAGAATCGGAAGTAGTAGATCTTCTTTGCAGTGATTGGATACAACCGGAGACTCCAGATCCCCCTGTAGCCCTTATCATGTCACAAGAAACAACATATGGCAATTCAAAACACACTTCACTGCCCATAACGCTGGGTGAGCAATCCTTACGAGGTTTAGCTCATTTCATGAGCCCAACAAACCACGTGTTTGGTTCAGGGCCCAGAGGGCGGGGGAAGTCAAGAGATATAATGGTTGGTCAACAACCACAAGGCCCGCAGCCAGTTGCTTCTAAGGCTGTCAAGCTCATCGAAGAGGAGGACAGAACTCAAGGACATGTTCAAGCAACAGTATACAGGTGAGAACGGATCCCTGTAGAAAGGTGTTTGCTGAAACGTAGCCTGACAGTATGCGCTCCGCAAATGTCGTACTCTACTGTAAAATCGTGATAAAGAGTTCAGATTTTTGTACAAGAAAAAGATGTGGCAGCATATTTTATGCTGCCAGTCAAGAAGAAGAATCATACGGGGTTGAGATAACAATTTTCATATTTGACTTGTTTTGCAGGGCCTATGGAGGCTTTGTAGGGTGGTCAGTAATCGCTACGATTGTAATCAGCATATCTTTGATGCAAGCAACGCGGAATGGTAGTGATGTGTGGCTAACTCACTGGGTTGACAACGTTGATGATGCTGGAGGGCAATCTCTGCAGTTTTATCTGGTCAGCAGTTCAAGCCTATACTCATTTTGTTTCGTTGCTGTTTGCGAACTATTCTGCATGCTTGTCTGTAATGTTCAAGTCTGATCACAGCTGTCTTGCAATATGGACACAGAAAGTTTTTGTCGCTATTGCCATTGCGAATTCCTTCGCAACGTTGGCGAGAGCTTTCTTTTTTGCCTATGGAGGCTTGTGTGCTGCTTCCGAAGTACACAAGGCTTTGTTGAACAAAGTCATTGCTGCTCCCGTCAGGTTCTTCGACCAGAATCCCAGCGGCCGTATTTTGAACAGGTTGGTTATGTCGAGCACAGGATTCTGATAGATTTCAGACTAAAGCCTCCTCACAACTCACCACAAAGAATTTTCATTCTAATCGTGGTGAAAATTCGAAAGGCTATCGTTGAATTGAAGCTATATGCGCTTGCCAAGGTTTTCATCGTAGCGAGGGTATAACCAGAACATTACATTTTTTTTCTTTTCTTTACCATTTGCAAGTTCTTGGATATTTTGACAAACTTGAGAATTAGAGCAGCCGGGAACCGGTGCCTAGTTTCCTTTACTGACAAGTGTTAACTTAGCACATAATCTTTGTCGCTGAGTTGAAGATGAATCTCATTGCAGGTTTGCTTCTGATCAATACACCATTGATGATTCTCTTCCCTTTGTGGTGAATAATCTAATTGCACAACTGTTCAGCCTGATCGGCATCATCATTGTTTTATGCTGGGTACAGGTATGTCGCTTTGAGCAATAAAACAATGTTCACAACTCTTTGCATGTTGAGCTTCTGGTGTCCTACTGGAGGTACTTGTTATATAGCACTAGGCCTTTTTCGAGTTCGAGTTTGCTAGACGCTTCTTGCAAAATTTTGCTGAAATTTCAAAAGCAGTAGTTATGCTTCAGTCTCTGTGAAGGTAAAGAGCAAGATGACGAAAGTACTGAGGAAAATATGTAGCTTTGATTACTGACTGTTTAATTGCTAATTTCTGCTGCAGTGGATGTTTCTTCTTATATTGATACCTCTAGGATTTATGTACCACCGACTGCAGGTCCGTTTTCTGACAACTAAATATTTATGGCTATAGACCCTCCTCATCAGTTACGGCTGCGAAAGAAGACTATTGTTGGAAGTTGTCTTGATTCTAGTAAAATACATCTCTTCTGACCTTTTTAACTTTGAAACCGAAACGACTAGTATGTCCATGCTTTGAATATTTTTGAAGACCTTTTTGGGGACTTTCTCAAGATATATTTTGAAAGCTGAACTAGAGTTCCTCTAAGGTCTCCATTTATCAGCAAGTAGCGACCACCATTAACCCATACACGAAAGTACTTTCCCAGATAATCATAAACTCGAGAGCTTCCATGGTCAATAGTCATCATTATTTTGGAGGAATAAGAGGGTCAAGTGGATATCAATCATTTCTATTCATAATAAAATCATTTATATGCGATGAAGGCAAGGATCTATTTCTCTTTGTACTAAGGACGTGCTTTCTTTGTTTATATGCAGAAATATTACAGAGCAACATCTCGGGAGTTGCGTAGGCTCGATGGTGTATCTCGATCACCGATATACACTTCATTTACGGAAGCTCTTGATGGCGCACCAACCATACGCTCTTTCAGAGCACAGGTTGAAGATTTAGACAACTGTGTGTTTGTTTAAAAACTGGACAAAGCTAATGCGTGAGCTCGAAGTTAGAATGTACACAACTAAATGTCGGTATCTGCAACAGGCACAATTTGCCGCCTCGAATCGACAAATGGTTGGAGTTAACTTGCGCGCTTCTTACAACGAGATATCAGCAAGTCTCTGGCTTTCCATAAGGTTGCAGGTGGGAAATAAGTTGCAACCGCAGGTCTTTACTGCCATTTTTGCAAATAAATTACTGCCATTTTAGGCTGATCTTGGTTGGTAGAAGCATTTCTACCCTCGTGCACTTTCTAAAATCGGTACGACACTGGCCTTGTACTGCCTCCAAACATGGTCGAACTGACTACTTGTCCACCGCATGCTTCAGATACTAGCAGCTTGTGTTGTGTTTTTCGTGAGCATTGTAGCAATACTCAGCCGTCGCAATGGTTCTTCTATCACTCCTGTATCTGCTGGATTGGTGAGTAACATAATTGAAAGATCGGTTATTGACATCCAAAACCTGTACGTTTTCAAATTCGTTGAAGATTACTTCTTTAGCTTCTTTTAGCACTCTATCAAGTATATGGATCGTATGTAGCTGTGTTTCTGATTCTTGTTTCCTGGTAAAGGTGGGACTAGGCCTTTCTTATGCATCTCCAATTATCACGACACTGAATAACCTTCTTGGACACTTCACTGAGACTGAGAAGGACATGGTTTCAATGGAAAGAATTCAACAGGTATTGCCCTGGAACCCGGCCTCAGTTTTTACTTATTCTTCGATGTCTGTACTTTGCGCAAGAACCACCTTTGTAAAATTTATGACCTGTTTAGGTTGTTGGACGGTATGTGCGACTAGTACATGGGACTGGAGGCTGAACCATGTTCTGGGAGCGTGGAAGTGGCCTCTGACTGGCCAGCACGAGGAGAAATCGAATTTTTGAGTGTCACTCTCGTGTATTTGCCAAATCTGCCTCCAGCACTTCGAGACCTTTCATTCAACATATGTGCAGGAGAGCAGGTGCGTTATATATTTCCTGTTTACTTTCTCATGTCTAGCATTCAACCTCAACCAAACTCACCCAGTGATTGGGTCTGTCTAAAAATGTCTTTGAAAGTTCTAGACGGAGCAACTCACACCGGTGAGTAGAATCATGCTACTGAGTTCCAAGTATGAGCACAGAAGAGGTTGAACTATTTTGCATTGTTAAGACATAGGAGTAGAGAAGTGTGATTCTGTGTATTTGGAATATATATCAAGGCAAGGTAATTTTCATTTGGTTCTAGACCGAGCTGGAATCGGAATGTTGGTCCAGAAGCTAATATTACTATGAATATAGAGGAAGAGCTATGTCAAGGTAGATTCACGAGAGATTTTCAGTGTCTTACTTATCTCATATGTTAGTATATATCCTTAATCAAGAGAAAATGGAGGCTGGCTATAATTGGTCCTCTGCATCTGTCGCTTTAAAAATTTTATGATTTGGAATTGCAGTCCCAAGCTTTTGAAATATCTGCTCTTAGATATTTATTTAGATATTTATTGCTCTTAGATCTGCTTTGAATACTTCGACCTTGTGTTCTCCAGTGGTTCAAAGTTCAAAAGTCCTATGTATGGTTGCACAGGTAGGAATTGCCGGAAGAACAGGTGCTGGAAAGTCGAGTATACTTGGTGTTCTTTTCCAACTCATCCCTCTTACTGGTGGGAGTATCCTTGTTGATGGTGTAAATATTTCAAAGATTCCTCTTCGGCTTCTGAGATCTCGCCTCTCTGTTGTTCCACAAAGCCCTATGCTTTTTGAGGGTACCCTAAGGTCCGTGCACATAGTTTTTGCAGTGGTTTCATCGGTTGATAGATCATACGTCTGTTTATTCAAAGTTTCTATCCAATTCCTGAAGGCTTAGAGGTCGATTTGTGCAGAGAAAATCTGGATCCTACAGGAACTTTGAGCGAAGCAGATCTTTGGAGAATGCTAGAAAAATGTCACATGAAAGACGCGATTTACGCAGCTGGTGGCTTGAACCTACATGTGTCTGAGTGTGGAGAGAGCCTTTCTCTTGGACAGAGACAACTCCTTTGTCTTGCTCGGGCCCTCTTGAGTAGTTCTCGCGTGAGTTTCGCCTGACTTCATCCTTGTTCGGTATAGCTGAACATGCTTTCATCTCTGGTTCTTATTAGCTGATTGTAGTCGTGCCTGTTAGTTTGTGAAGATTATGTTCGTAACCGTATGTTTTACGCTTGACTTTTGCTTTCTGCTGCGACATTTCTTCTCCCAGATCCTTTGCCTGGACGAATGCACAGCAAATGTCGATCCAGAGACAACAACTCTACTAATGGAGACCGTAACATCAGAATGTAAAAGCATGACTGTGGTGACAATAGCGCATCGAATTGCCACGATCTTGGATTTGGATCGTGTTCTGATTCTGGACCACGGATCTCTGGTACTGGCTTGCTTTCACATGATGTTACGTTCTTTCGTGTTTCTCCTGTCAAAAGCTTTTTATGAAAACATTATAAGACACTATACTGCAAAGGCAAACAACGTTGGCAGTAGAGCTTGCCATATCTCAACTATTTGTATCATTCACAAAGAGCAAGTTTTGTAATAGACTCAAAAATTGCTTAGGTTTGTTCAGAGGGGAGGCCTTTGTGGCTAGCTTTGGCTAATGAACTGACGTCTATTTTTACTCGTGTTTACAATTAAAGTCTACTATATGCTCTGGCTTGACATCTCTGGTTTGATGACCAGGATTCTTAGTATTGGAAGGCTACTGCTATCCCATTCTAAACGCAAGCTCATTGCATCTCACAGGTCGAAGAAGGAGAACCTCAACAGCTACTTGCAGATAGCAGCTCCAAGTTCTTCAATCTTGTGAGAGTATCAGGTGCCGAATTTTTGTAAATAAAACTCTGAGGCTGAGCCAACTAATTGGCTAGGTTCGCGTCAAAAAACATCACCATGTATACTTGTAAAGAATGAGCCTAAGTACAAAACTAGAATGGCAACAAGCCAGACATCTTGTACGAGCACAATGCAGCGCTCCCAAAGGAGTTCTAGATACTGCTAGAAAGGAATGCTCATTTGAAAGATAGCGGCCTATTCTTCTAGGTTTCCAAGACAAGCGGGTTTAGAAATGTTGGATTTGCTTCAACGAGGTGAGCTTTTAAGTCTCAAACAACCTTAGTTGTTTGAGACCTTAGTTAACCTTTTTTGCTTCATCCGTGACCTTTCATCAAAGCTAAGTGCGAGATTTTGTCCCTCATGGTTAGCTCGTGCAAGTAACTGCTACACGCAGGCCGCGCTTAGTTTATATAGTAATTTTTTTCTTTTGCCATGAGCGGCAAAGTTGATTGATGAGACACTTCACTTTGTAACACTGCTCTCATTTCATCTACCAAATGCCAACTTCCATCACTCCAGAAGGCCAGATCTAGTACACTATGTTTTCACAATTCGTAGTTGTGGTATCTCTCTTTAATCTATGCTGTACCACTTCTCTCTGATTCTCCTACTGCTTCGTGTGCCATCAGATCTCTTTCTTCTGCAATATTCTATGTTGTATAGTTTACCTTTTGGCTAGCGGAAATCAATTTGGTGCTTCAGAACATTTTCTGGTGATGATACCTCACTTGCTCAGCTCCATGAAGCAAATCTTCTTGCCTGAGACGCAGGAGGCATAAGCAGGAAGAGGAGAATAAGCAAAGTTGCCGGCATGAGAGCATATGAGACTAGAGCATGTTGAAGACTTTACTTCAGAACGCTTTGGCACCGGCCATAATGTGAGAATATATGAAGCCCATTATTTAAGTAAATGAAGAAAGCTTGTGGGTACGACGTGGAGGAAGACACGTTTTGCATGTCCACATGGACCCAACTCAGGCGGAATGTGTACTGGACACCAAAGACGTGTTGATCAAAGCCTACGCCGAAATGCAAGAAGGTTGAGCATTGACAGAACCAAAGTTCATGGACTAAGAGCTCATTGCTTCCAATTTAGTTGTGAGAAGGTGAAATAAATCATAAAGCCTGCAATCAGAATTTCACAAGGTCCAGCGTCCAACAAGAACTGAATATGCATTCGTATGTCGCATGCACATAAGCTTTACCTTCAAGGAATTCCATCAGGGTCATCTAAAAGATAGTAGATGTATGGGAATATCGCGCCTCCATCTTTTTAAAGTAGTCTCTAAATCTTAGTTGTAGGCTTGAACCGTTGTAAATTATAGGATGCTTGTGCTTATCCATTTCTTCTCATCCATCGACGAATTTCCAAATCATCAGTGGCCATCTCAATGCTCAAATTTCGATATCAGTCTTGGAATAGCGGCAGGTCAGTATCTCAGGTGAGACGGAAATTTAAGTAAGTGCACCTTGAGATTCGAATGTTGATGAAGAGAAGAGGCAGGTTGCAGGAGTCGAGTGAAACAGCTAAACGACAAAAACAGTGATCTTTGCATGCACACCACACGGGTGTAGATATGGTTCGTTGGAATCTACAGGGAACAATCGCTCTGCACTTTACGAAGTTCGATCAGACACCTCACCTGTATTTCTGAAGATTTGCGAATCTAATGTAAGAGTCTGGTACGTTGAGCTTCACAGAGTAGAGATTGAGACGCTCCAGCATTTTCATGATTTGATGTCTGTCGGCAGAATTTGTTGGCATGCATTGAGAAGAGCACAGTTGTAGAGTGAGGCACCCTGATTGCAGGCAATGGCAGTCCGCTCAGTAGCCGGATTTAGTTGCGTGGTGAACACTTTGGTGAGTACAGCATACCACTGTAAGCTTGGAGGTGAATCCTTCGTCAATCTGCTCACTCCTGCTTTGAATCCTGGAAGCTGCCGTGTATCGCATCGCATCAACCATTCCAAGGCTGTTAGACGCGGAAGTAGGTGTTGTGCCACTCCAGACACTTTCGATCAGAATGAAGTGCTGAAGGATGCGGCCAAAGGGGGGAATTTGAAAGTCGTCGATGAACTGCTTCAGGGAAAATTAGTGAACATCGATCTACCCAGCAGCGGCAGGGCTGGCTGGACAGCACTCCATTTGGCTTGCTTCTATGGCCACGGCGCCATCGTACGGACTCTGCTCAATGCCGGTGCCAACATTGAAGTCCGTAATGACAGCGGGAACACTCCTCTGCAGCTCGCTTGCTTAAGGGGTAACATCGATATAGCTAGAACTCTTCTGGATTCAGGTGCAGACATTCATGCCGAAAGTTTAGATAAAGGCACAGCTTTCGATTATGCCCAAGAGTGGGGAGGAGATGAGATGGTCGATTTTCTGACACTGTGGGTAGCCAGTCGAGCTTCATAAGTATCGGATCATATCAACAAAGACTGCAATGTGGCATCAGTCCTGTAGATGATCAGTTCCAAGTTTGTTGCCGCTCGAGGTAAGGAGCCCCTAGAAATCTGATTTAGATAAGAAAAGGAAAACGAAGATTCTGTGTAATATACAGTGGTAATGGAAATCTATCTTTCTTCTCATCATTTTGGTCTTTAGCTCGAGATTTGCCACAATCAATGCTCTGAATCCTGATGGTCACCCAATATTCAACTTCAATGTGCTTCATAATACTGATATGCATTAAAAAATTGCTGCGTTTTTCCTGCTCATGATAGTGCTTATGCACTGTGAAATGCAAGCCATGCTTGTGAGATGGAAGGCTTGACAATAGATGGAGGAACTTTGTGAGTTGGATCAAAGGATGGCTTGATCCAACCACACCGTAACTGTAGAGTGAAACTGTTTGTGCTTGACAAGAAATTTGATCTCTTCCCAAGAGATATGGATTTCGAGCTAGTACTTCTCTCTTTGCATGACAGAGCTAGTACTAAAGAATGCATTGAACTCTCTCCAATGTAATGGTTTTGTCGACATCATCGACCTGCAGTTTCAGGTGTTTCGTAAGTCAGATGCTTACAGCAACAAACCAAGCTGCTGCATGAAACTGCTGAGCCGTAATCACAGCAACCAGAAGAGAAGTAGATTCATTGCCCTTTTCGATAGACATGTACTTACTTTTGGGACCTTTCATCATGTATCTGGACATTCTTGTACCGAATTCTACAGAAACTGCCGCAATCGAAGTAAGCAGGTCATCTCCAAATTGGAACGAAGAGCCGTATATTGACATTATTATGTTTAAGCAGTCAAGGTGCGTACTGCAGCTAGCGAGAGAGAGCCAGCTGACAGCTCTATACCTGGTGCACATTTAAGTTAGCATCACATCAAGTTTGAGTAATATGATCTTGGACCTTATGGTTCGTTCAGGAAGTGAAGTTTTTTAAGTGAGGGAGAGTCCGGCTCTCCGCAGGAGCAGACTAGAATGTGAAGGGCGTGAGACACGTTGGTATTCTGTCTACGGTGAAGGCAAGACTTCGAGGACATCATCATAAGGAGCTGAATCATGGCCGGCAATGACTAAAATGTTGGTTATTGATTTCCAACTCAAAGTTCTTGAACACTGAATATGTATTATTGAACAGTTAAACGTTATATCTTTTATAAAATTCAATCTTGCTACTTGAAACTAAAAGATGATACTTGAAACTAAAAAATGATGATTATATAATATACTTTAGCACTATCATGCAAACATCTATGGATAGTTTGTTTCGAGAGAAATTTGTTCTAGGTTAACCTATCATGAAAATTTGTTTGATGGGAACCATCAAGTTTCAATTTACACGATGGTATCTCACCTTGGTCATACCGTTGATGAGTTCTAATAGATGTTATAGTATGAATATATTCTAATTCGAGTTTCTGCGATGGTTTCAACGGTGTGTTATTGGAATTTAACAAAACTAGATATGCTCTCGCCCGCAAGATTTTTTGATCCAACCAAATTTATCTTAGCTTTTGGACAAAAAGTATTGCACTCGCGTTCCGAAATCAATTTGTGCAAGCACACTGTTGGAAAATTACCTTTTGGATCTCGAAACAATGAGAGACAATGCAATGCCACTAGCAGTACACCTTGCACCTCAAGTGATCATGAAGTCTTGTGACAAATTATTAAATTTTTGTTCTAGCAGTTCTACAACATCAAACTACCACAATGAAGATTTCTACGCACATGGATTGCTGCAGACAAATTCATTCTTGTAACAACGGTGAGTTCTTAAGGAGATGATTTGAGGGTGACATGGACCGTTACGTGGGGTCCCATCGGGTAAATTGAAATTTTATGGATCCCATTAAGCAATTTACGTTTTGAGGGGGTTCCATCAAGCAAATCTCTCTCATGATGTTGAACTCTTTTCAAATTTTTTGTTTGAAAATTAATATATCCAAGTCTTGATTCATTATGAGTCATAATGTAATGTCATAATTTATGACATTACATTGTTGAAGATCAAAACATAAGCGTGATAATACATAATTCAAAGCTTTCAAAATTGATAAAACTTGGCCTTTTTTGATGATTGGAGTAGTGAATCAAGTTTTTAGTTGTTCCATACGGGTTTTTTTTCCACAGAGTAAAGAAATGTTTGTAGATCAGGGGCTAGAAAGAGAGTAAGACGTAGCCAAGTACACTGGCGGCGACGGTATATTGGTACGCAGATTGCAAAAAATCTTTGTATGATTTGAAAACACGCCAGTTCATATCGGACAAAGCCATATTGGTCGATCGATCACAAGATTTTTTGAAATTGTAAAGCGCTTAAAATACATCACAATACTAAAAGTATTGATCATTATGATTAACATGAAATTTGAGCGCGTCTCCATATCCAAACATGAAACTTCAACACGATACTTGGACATCCAACACAATAGCCAAATCTGAAAACTTGACACAGAGAGCAAAGGATACACAATGAACTTTGAGGATTTGACAAAGCATTTGCATTTATTTTTTGATGAATTGTATAGCATCACATACAACACAATTGATGATATGACAAAGACATCCGATATGAAAACAATCTTAATCTAAACCTCGAAGAAGTTTTCTAATGCCTAGATTGAGGTGACGACATGTCATTTTAGATTTTTAAATTTCTGGCACTACACTTGCCACTGAATCAACTTCAAATTTAGTCTAACTTATGAAGTTTCCATTACTTTATCAAACCAATCAAAACTAATCATGTAGTCAAAAATCTTTTCTTTTGAAATCTAGATTTAGAAGAGACAATATAGAAATGTTCACTTAAATATTCTAGAACTATACTAATTATTTTGCCAAGAATAGATTTCAGAGCTAAACATAGTCATAATTAACTAAACTTAGATATAACTAGGATTTTCAAGATCAACTTTGTTGACTATTCTAACACAACTTCACACATACATAGGCATGAGTAACAGTGGCATTTGCCACTAACACCGATATTAAGCTAATAGTGGCATGTCCAAATATTTATTAGTGGCATCAAAGTGACACTATACAAACTTCATATGAAGAGCAACACCATCAATTCTTAGTTGTGATCTTCAATAGCCCTTTGTGCTGCTAGGCATGGAGAACACTCGAGCCCAAAATCAGAAAGTCTCTGCTTGAAAATATGCTATTCACGCCTCAGCTTGGAGAAATCTGTCTCCTCTGTTGAAGTGTCGGCAAAAACCGTAGCCAAGCTTCCTGCAAATTCAAACAAAGCCGAGAATCGTGATCCAAGGAGACCCCAACTGCCCCTAAACAAAGTCTTTTGATCGTAGACATCAATTGCTAATTTCAAGTTTTCCTCGGTATGATAGCATCGAATAAGCTCTCCGTGTTCTTCTTCGATGTCTTCAATTTGCTACGGTGTAAACTTGGCTGCCTGCAATTTTAGGATATGCTTGGAAACGGTGGCACAAAATTGGGATCCATTGTCCTTAACAAGCTCGTGCGGCATGACCAGTGGAAGCTGATTATTGGCAGAAGCTTGCTCATTAGCACTGTTTTGCTCGACAGCAATAGACATAAGCTACAAAGCCGCTGAAAGAAACGCCAAATCAACGAGTCGGAAAATGTGAAGCCACGCGCCGTTGTCGGCAGGAATCTTGTTGAGCTTGGCAGACACAAAGGCCAACGTTTGAAAGAGGCGCTGCAAATTTTCCAGTCGCGACATGACCACCAGAATTAGCTGCTGCCTCTACCATGACTTGCAGCTCGGACTGAAGCAGTGGTTTTTAGCCCTCCACCAACCGGCAGAACGTCTGCGATAGGTTAGACAGCTCGACCACTTGCTGGGACACCAAAATCGTCATGCCCTAGAGGCGAATGAACACTTGTGACGCTTCTTGTGCAAAAGAATGAACTGTCTTCATAAGCATCCACTAGGCTGCAGATGGTCGGCATGGCGGGAGCTTATCGTTCAAGTACGTCTGAACAACAATCTTTTGTTTCTTGAACCAAGTCATGATCTTGATCATAGAAAGCCAACGTGTAATGGCAAGCTTTGGGCATGTCGTCTTCATCTCAGCAATCAAATTTTGCTAGCGTCGCAGGTAGCCAATAAGCGCAACGAGAACAGAATACAAATCGTCTTGGAGCAAGTTTTGATAGACGTCTGCCATGATGAGGTCAAGCTGGTGAGCACCACACCAGAACCTAATAAAATTGAGCCTAATGGCATTGTCCAAGAAGGTCAGTAGACCGACGTGCCATCCACTCATGTTTCTTGCTCCATCGGTCGCAACGCCAATCAAGGAGTCTCTCCAGCCTAGACGAATCACATCCAACAGCTTCGCGACCGTGTCGAACATTGATTGCCTCGTGTGACGCCCGTTTATAGGCAACACCAGCAAGTGAAAGTTGTGGATGTCGTCGCCAGCCCAAAAGCGAAACTCAATGTCAAGATAGGATGTGCTTTGGTGTGTAGTCCCAACTAATGCTAGCAAGAAAACCCAGCAATCGGTAAGAAGGTCAGAGAGCATCTACAGGTTTGATGCATACATCACCTGAAGGAACGATGAGACCTTGCGACGGTTGCAACCAAAGTAGCCATTGCTATGAGTTCCTTCATCGACTAAGCAAGGCAAGAAGTGAGGCGAAACAATGAACCAAGAGAAGTGAACTCGACGACCATGTCAACAAGCAGCCGTGTTGATTGCTATCTTGTACGCAGCAACAAGAGCATTTTCATTATTCTATGGAGAAGAATCTTGGACTGTGTGATAGGTCAGTTTTTTCGTTTTTTCCGGAATTAGACTAGAAGATTGGGAAATCCCGGTCGGTTTTAACCTTTGAGAGTAGAAGTAATTAGATTAGAGTAGAATAGCAGCGTGACGGTGTAGATTAGGTAGTAGTAGTACTCTAGAGGGAACCTCTGACGTTGCGATGATCCTCAGGAGGGCGATGAGGTCCGAACTTGTGAGGACAAGTGAAGAACTACCTCACTTGAGTACCCAGACAGGTACTTGGGGAAGGGTACTCAGCCGGTGTACGTGAGGACATCGAAGCTTCAAGGTCACAAAGCGGTGAAGGGTACCGGAGACTGCAACCTCCGGGCTGACTCTCACTCAGGTTTACCTCAGATGGCTTTTCGGTAGCTCATCATGATTCTAGAAGACTAGGATTCCGCATCATACTCATAACCTAAACACCCTCTCACACAATCTCTCAAGGTATCACTCCAACTCATAC